AATGAAGGACCCTAACCTTAACCCTAACCCTAACCATGCTGTCCCCCATCTGCCTGATGGGAGGAGCGCATGCCTGTGTTTCTCCACCCAAGTGACATTCACATGAATTTTCATTTGGAAATACATGTTCAAAAAAGACTAAAGTACAAGATGCTAACAGTGGAGCCCCGGGCACGTAGGTTTATGGGTGGGATAAGGATGTAGGAATAGTTTGGGGGTTGTGGGGTGATAAGAACGGCAGAAAAACTCCCAGAACTTTGAGACAACAACAAATACCAAAGGCCAAAAGCTGTAATTGCAAAGCCGTTGCCTGCAGACCTCTTAGTTTACTGCAGTAACTTCTGCACCATCTCCTTTGGGTTGGGCCTAAACCGTTACGGACTATCAGATGGCCGGTAGACTATCCTCCCAAGGACACAGCAGCAAAGTTTCATTGCTTGAGAGCTGGGACACACATCCTTCGTGCTGACGATTGACCAGGTTCTTCTGATTCCTAGCACTGCTACTACACATGGTGACTTGGCCTGTTAGGGGTCACAGTTGGCCTTCAGCACTGTGGCCCCAGGTGATGGGCCGGACAGAATGAGGAGTCCAGAGGGAGGGGAGGGCCTGGCGCTGTGCACGTGATGCTTTCTCTTCTCCCCTTTTTTATCTTTTGCCGATTCCTTTGTATTTTACATTTCGAAGACACCCGTCTACTGCAAACCTGAATGCTAGTAAGGGGCTGACCATTAAAATATATATTTAATATCAGAAATACTTTGCTGTTTCTTGCAAAGGGCTGATATTCATTAATGGATCCAGTAAATACGCATGCACCTTCTAGGATGTATGAGTGTTTGGCGGGTACGTGGAGATGAATATAAGCTCCAAGGACCTAAGAATTGATGGGAAGTTGGGCAGGTGGCCAACAGCACAGAAGAAGAGGCAGCAAAAAGGACTATGGAAGGAGCAGCTTCCTCTGGCTGCCCAGATGGAAAGAGTTTTTACCAACGGAGACTGCTGTAGTAATTCAGGAGGGATCAAGAGCTGTGAGGCTGGGTGGCCTTGTTGCTTCATGCGCAGAGCTGGAAGCTGGATAGAAGTGCACGGCCTCAGGTTCCCTCCAGCTCCTCCAAACCAGAATGCATTTCACCTTTGTCCCCCCACTGACCTGCTCTGGAAGCCTACAAGGGCCTCTGCCTGCAGCACATGCGCTGCCTAGCAGACACCAGCCAGTCTCTGGTGACTGCACCAGACACAGGGGTGGGGGCACAGAGCCCCTGCTGGGCAGCGTCAGCCCAGGAAACTGCAGAGACGGCTAAGAAGCAAACACCAACACCCCACCTGGGACACATCCGTAGGTAAAAATCTTTCTGTAAAATGGGAGGAAACCACTATTCTGTCAGATACACAGAGGTCAACACAAGGACACAAGAAAAAAGACAAGCACGACCACCGAGGCTGTCATCTCGTATTCCCTCCTTTCTCTTGCTCCTCTTATCTACCTGTGATTTAGGGTCTGATAGAAGCAGCTAAGCACAAAACCAGAGTACCAAGGCTCTCCTTTCCTTCCTTCCCAGCCTTCACCTTCTTCCTACTTCTGTTGTCGGGCTGAGGGACTTCCGTGCGGATGGACAGATTTATCAGCCCTCTGTCCTCTTTGATTTTTTATTGCCCTTATGGGATCCTCTTGCCCTTCTAAGGACGATCTGAGGACAAAGCCCTGTTCACGCCCTGAAGGTCCCTCTGAACACTGAGCTGCGTCCCTGAGCTGAACAGTAGTTGCTTTGGGCAGGGGAGCTGTTCTCCATAAATTAGAATCATGACCAACAACACACAGGCTGCCCAGACCTTCGCCTGGGCATCGATCACAGGTAATGTCCGTCCTGCTGCTGGGTCTTGCTATGGCATTCATCAGGATGTAGAAGGCCACCATTGATTCTCTGCTGTAATTGAATCTCACAGAGGGGCAGACGATATGCGTCTCTTTTCCTCCCCATGTGCTCCCACAGCATAGACCCAGGGCACTCACGGGGGCCAGACGTGGGACAAGACAGTGACCTCTCAGAGTGTGCAAGGACCAGGGCCGTGGGTCACTGGACCGCTCTGTGGATGGAGCTTTAGTATCCTCCTCTCTGAGAACTACCACATATTTGGACTCTGCTGTACTCCAGCACTGGCCACAGATGCTTCCAAGAACAAGGCGAGTCCCTGCCCTTGAAGTAGCCCAGGAGTACACACTCACGGCTCTGTGGGCTCAAAAGGAGCAGCGTTACTTGGGGACGCTGACCTGGAGAAGGCAGTGTTGGGATGGCTATAGAAGGCCAGGCTTGGGGGTTAGCCCTTTTGGCTGACCAGGGTGCTATTCAGAAAACATCCTGCAGTCCTGTGTAGCTGGGACCCTCGGGGCATGGCTCCTTCTTAGGAACCAGGTTGAGGAAGGGCCTTTATTCATCCTGAGCAGCTGACCCATGCTGCTCACCATCACAGTGAACCCCACCATCACAGTGTCGCCCACAGTCTTATGCTGTCTTTGAACGGCATCTTGCTGGTGCACGGGCTGGTACCTAGAAAGCTTCCATGCTTGTGCAGCACACTTGGGGCCCACTGTGAGATTCTTTGGCTTTGAGATTCTTTGGGTGCCAGCATCACACAACCCAGTTCTCAGGGGGTAGAGACGCCAGCTTGCTGGTGACGGGCCATGAGCTGTCACCAGGAAGACAGGTGATTTCTACAGCCTCTCAGCCAGAAAAGGAAGAAGGGGAGCCCGCAGTGAGCACTCAGCTCCCACTCCGTTGTTCCAAGAGGCAGGAGAATCCAGCGTGGTGCTACCTGCTACTTTCCTGCCCTCTGCCACCCCGAAACATGCCACTGTTACTTGCAGGGGACCTGCTCGGCTTTGCAGCCAGCTGCATCCAAGCCCATCTGTAAAATCACTTTGGACTAATACTACAGGAAATGGGACAGAGACAGGCCAACAGGGAGGAGGAGAGAAGGAAAGAAGGACTGTCATGCCGGCATCATGGCCCTCAGCACTCCACACTCACTGGTTCTTGGAAGTAGAGTTGGTAATCAAACACCGGATTGGCTTTGATGGCCTCCATGGGGTGCACCTTGGGATTTGCTGGGATGAAGGGAGTGTTCAGACTGGCCACTGCCCTGCAGAAACAAGAGACACCAAGGCACAGCCTGTAAGACAATGTCTCTAAGAACCAAAAAGGCTCTCGCATGTTAACATTGAAGGGTAGAGCAGAAAAATTGTGTGTACAAGATTTTAGGGATTAGTACTCACATTTTAAAATTCCTAGCCCGGGGGTTTTTCTTATCTACTCATCTGCAATATGTCTCACCTATCTGACTTAGGCAAAGAAACATGGAATTGTATGCACCATCTCAAAACAGGTTAGAATATGTAGATACTTGTGTGCCTCTAGTTTTAAGAAATACATTTGCTTTTTTTCCTCCTCATTCTCTCACTGAGTCTTTCATTGACTCACGGTGTCTCTCCTCTGTGTAGAGTGTAATCCCATGTTATGTAAGGGGTGGGGGTATAACAAATAAAATAGTCTCCTCCAAGGAACTTAGTAGCAGTCAGTAAGAAGAGACTAAGCAGAGAGGCATATTTTCTTATGGCTGTTATATGAGCCATACGAGTTGCTTAAAGTAGCGTGAGAGTTCGAAGGGGATCAAGAATGCCTGAATTTGGCCATCATGGAAGGCCTTGGGGACAAGACAACACTCGAACTTCATTTTAAGGGTAGAGAGAGTTGGGGGAGGGGGCCTCACGGCTGAGCCTCAGCAAATTCTGAGAGGTGAGGAATGCGCACGGCTTTGTTGGATGCAACAAAGAGACGGTGCCATTAAAAGCTGAGGGTTTACCAGGAGCATCTTGAGAAATATGAAACTGAAAGGGAGCCTGGACATTAAGAGCCCAGAGCCTTGACCTGATGCTGTAGGAAACCAGGAAAACCAGGAGGGTTTCTGAGAAGGCGCGGAGTGGCCCAAAGCTGCAGGCAGGAAGATGAACCAAGCGGTGACAGAGCACACAGAGGCAGAGGGAGAATCTGGGAGCAGAGGTCAGCTGCAGGGTCACCAACTGCACTGGTCACCTCACCGGAAGCAGGGTGACAGCACTAGGGAAAAGGGGTGGGTGAATTTGAGACAGTGCTAAAACAGCATCGATGGGACTGCAGTTAGTCTGGCTGGTCTGTAAAGCATTCCATATCCCACTCCTAGCCTGGGCAACTTTTCCTCAGAAGAGAAACAGAGAGACTATCTGGGCGGAAGTAGGGAATAGGAAGAATGGGGTGACTACAGCAAATGAAATAATCAGGGAAAGGAGCGATGAGGCTTGGCGAGTGCCAGACAGTCTGTCTGTCTGTCTATCATTCAAGTCACAAATATAATTTAAAACTTTCTCTTTGCCACAATAAAACAAGTAAAAATAAACAGGTAGGATTGACTTTAATATTTAAGTCAACAGACCTACAACATTAATAATGTAAATATAATCAGTACTAACAATCTTAATGAGATATTCCACATTCATTCCCTTGCTCCCTCCCTCCCGCCTGCTTTCCCTCCCACTCTCCCTCTCCCTCTTCACAAAGCTGCTGAAATCCGCCACGCATTTTCCACACACAGTAAACTCAACTCGGGGTGGCCACATTCCAAGTGTTCAACAGCTACATGGCTGGAGGCTGCCATACTGAATAGCAGGGTGAGGGTATAAAATAAGTTATATCAATAACAATAGGCTTCTAATGTTACAATGGTGGACCTATTTTCAGCATTATTTAAATCACAAGTCAAGAAATTCTAGCTTTCACTACATATTCTGAGAGGCATAGGGTTTTTAAATCACTTTGACATATACTTTATCCTGTAAATTAAAAAAACTACCATTATAAAACAAGATGATAGAACATAAATGCTACCGCTGATGGCATTAAAATCAGAAAAGGCTATCCAGCTTCCTTTGGGAACAGAATCTCCAGGAGGCTGGCAAAGAAAGAATGCAAAAAGTTACTTCTGGACACACAAGCGAACAGCGTGCATTAAATGAGCCCACAGTTTACCTCAGTAGACAGCCAAACTAGGGATTAAAAGGCATAAACCACACAAAAATGGGTTAATTTTCCCATTCACTGTCTGGCTAGAAAAGTGAAGCTCAATGTAGTGAATGGTGTTTTTAAACAGCAGATGTTCCCGTACCCAGCAGGTATGTCCCACCAGGAAAGACCCAGGGACAAGGCTACTTCAGGACAACAGGTTCAGGAGCAGCCACTGCCAGGACACAAGGACACCCTGGAGAGAGGGAGCTCAACATGGAGAGGAACCCAGAGCAGCAGAGGTACTTTGGATCTGATGTCATTCAGGCACTCACTTGGCCCAGGTTAAGTGTTTTTAAATACTCAACAGTAAGGTATTTTTCCTCCTTAAAGACAGAAATCATATGCTAATTGCTATGTTTCCCTTTGTTCATTTTTAAAAAGCATGTAAAATGCCTAGCATTTCCTGGTGAACCGAGTTCTTAAGAACTAAGCTCTATTTCCAGTCAGAGTGAGAGAGAAGGGTGGAAGATGGAGGTGGGAGGGTCAGTAGAACAATAATGCAATAACTTCAAGAATATTTTAGGGAAACATCTCCTTGGTTTGGGTGTTTGACATAATCTTGTGGGAACGGAGGTTGAACAACGTTCTCTGCCGGTTCTGTTCTTACAAGCTTAGCCATGCAAAAAGTACTGGATTAGTTGAAGAATTGCAGATGGTTGTTGAGCCTTGTGTTTCCCTAATTTGCTAAAAAGGGGATCGGGCAGATTGTACCTGCAGTTTGAAGGCTCAAACAGGGTGTGTCCACAAAGACCACTCCACTCTGGGTTTAAAACCTGTCACCTGGAGGCCCTGACATGCCCCTCTAATGATGACTTTGAATGGGGTGATGGGGACCACAAGGCACCACACTAACTGTACGTTCTTGCAGGTTGTATATGCAGGTAGTAGTTCTTACCGCTGCTCATCGCTGAGGAAATGAAGACCTGAGAGGTGAAGTGATCTGTCTGTAGCCACTTCAGGGCAGAATTGAAGGCCACACTCCTAGGCTAAGGACTCCTAGGCTAAGGCTGGACTCCCTTCTGGGACTTCACTCTGTGCTTCCAACACCCCTTAACCACCTCCCTAGTCCCCTCCCCTCAGCCATGATTCCTACATTCCCACTGGCCACTCAGGCCCTGGGTTATGTGTCCCACTGTTAGTAACTGGGACAGAGGTTGCTTCCTGATTCACACGCTCATTAGGCCTCATTGTGGATGTGCCAATGGGCACCAAAGAGCAGAGGAGTTAACCTCTCAGATGACCACCTTGATTTGAGGAAATTTTCTGAGGAGCAAGCCCTGAGAAGCAACCCTCCAGTGAGTTTAAATTCAGTCTTGGCAAATGCCTGTTGCCTGTGGCCCACTCACCTCACTCGCTCGGGGTAGAAGAGGGCCATGTTCCACACCAGAACGCCTGCCCAGTCGTGGCCAATAAACACCGCCTGAGGGATGCCCTGTAGAAGGAGCAAGCGGGGCACCGGATATGACATAGGCGAATTTCCGGTATGGGGCACCAGGAGGCAAGGCCTCTTCTGCCAAGCCCAGGGCCCCTCTGCCACCCTAATTTCTCCAAGACATCCACCCTCCTGAAGCATTCATTCCCACACAGGCTCCCACACACCTCAAGAACCACTGGCCTTTATAATTTTCTTAGAGGGCTGAGGCCACTGGTCCTGAGTTCCTTCACTCACTCTACCTTAACTCAGATCAAATTCTATTCCCCCCTATTCTCCTTTATCTCTGAAAAGAAGTATGCCTGCTCTTTCCCTGTGCCACGGTCCTCTTCCACTGAGTCATTGTGACTCTACTCTCACTCTCTAGGGGAGTTCGCCTCCCTTCTTTATCCAGAAGTTCAAATCATACATTTCCTCTTCCTTCCTTTCTGTTGCTGCTGCTGCTCCTGCTGACAATGCATGCCCTCTACTGCTCATCTTCCCTGACCCAGAACTCTGCTAGGCACACCAACCATGACCTGGAACCTGCCCATGGCCTTCCATACCCAGTCTATAAATGGAAAGCCAGGCTGCTGTGGTCATGGAGTACGGGGGGTTGAACCCAGGGACTGTGCACTGAGTTACATCCCCAACCTTTTTTTATTTTGAGATAAGGTCTTGTTAAGTCACTAAGTTTCCCGGGGTGGGCTCATACCTGCAGTCTTTCTGCCTCAGCCTCCCAGAGTGCTGGGATTATGGACCTGTGCCACCACATCAAGCTCCTGCTCCACTCCTCTGTACTGTCAAATTTCTCACAATGTCTACACCAGTCACCTCCCTAAATAACTTCTTGAGTTCCTATAGTTTGACTACTCCCTGCTACCCCAAGTCCAGGGCAATTCCCTCTAAAAGCTACTACTGGAATCACCAGGCATTGTGTGGTTTTTCCTGGTTCTCACGCTTCTGACCATAATGTAGGATCAGACAGTTCCTCTGACATATCCTTCCCATGGCTTCTGTGGATCTGGGCTTCCTAGGCCCCGATGTCCCTCGCTGTGCTCCCTCCTCTGCCTCTCACCTGGGAGTGTTTCAAGGTTCCACCCTCAGGATCTTCTCTATCTGGACACTGTGAGCTCACACCACTATCACCTCCACCCCCAGGGACAGATAACCTCCTCACCTGTGGTTGGCCCAGGCCCCTTCCCATGCCTCCGAGCAATGACTGAGCCAGAAAAGGACAACTGACCTTGCTGACCTGCAGCCACAGTCCTCTTTCTCCAGTCTGAGACAATCTCAGCCACCTCAAAGTCTTGCAGCAAGATGGCCACAGAGTCAGGACTGGGCAGCCATGTGGGGCCTTGCCACTGAGATGTCCCCATCACACACATTCCTAACCCAATTTCACAGGACTGGGAGGATGTGGAGGGTAGGCTTCCACCTCCTCCTCTTCTCATGTTCCCATAGGGCCCTGCTGTGGAAGTGGCTATCCCAGAGTCTTCTCCTCAATGAGCTAAACCCTGCCATGTTGGCTTGTCTATGCTTTATCTCCCCACATCTATGGCCCGGCACTGCCTTCCCCATGTGTTCGTCATGCCCCAGGCTGAATCTGGGGAGGGAGAGGGCAGGACAGAGTGGAGTCTCAGGAACACAGTGTGTGCTCTGCCAGAAACCATGATGATCGGTTTTCATTCATTATCACTGAGTCCGACACTGTCAGTGATGTCAAAGGAAGGCACTCGAGTTCAGATGTATCAGGGAAGATGAAGGTGTGACATTAGCCAATAGGCCATTCTCCACCTTTTCCCCCTCATACTGAAGGCTCTCCTCCCTGACTCGAAGCCAGCAAAGGTGTTGCCCTCCTTCCTGGACAAACAAGCTGACTCCATGTGATCCTTCCACACTGTTTTTTTTTTTTTTTTGGTTTTTCTCCGGTACCGGGAACCGAACTCATGACCTTGCGCTTGCCAGGCAGGCGCTTTTGCCGCTGAGCTAAATCCCCAGCCCCCTTCCGCACTGTTTTGCACCTTTTACTTTGAACCTCTCCTCCTCCCTGCTGTCCAAAACTGTGCCTTCCCCTGCCTTGCTCTACCTGTCTAACAGCTGATGCCTCAAAGTCTTCCGCTTTCCCTTTAATTTCCCAGCCCCAAACAGAATTCTCCAAAGAATAAGTCCACATAATGACTTACCAACTTATCCAGGAAGGTCACCATCTCCTAAGAAAGAAAACACAGAAACAGAATCAGAAATTATGTCCAGCAACCTCTGCCACTTCCAGATCAGAACTATGGTATTCATTTCGTTTGGAGCTGATGATGAGCTTCCTAACTCCCTTTATTGAAGCTTTGAGCCCCGGTACCTCAGATTGCAACTGGGTTTGGAGATACAGTCTTTAAAAATGAAGTTTTTAAGCTTCTAGGGTGAGTGCTAAGCCAGCGTGACTGGTGTTCTTATAAGAGTGGAGATTAGGACACAGACACACCTGAGGAAAGGTATGGACCACAGGGGGACACAGAGAGAACACGGCCACCTACAAGCCAGGAAAACTAACCCTGCTGATACTGTAGTCTTAAATTTCCAGTTTCCTGAACTCTGAAGAAATATATTTCTGTTGTTTCAGGAACTCAGCCTGTGGCATTTTGTTACAATGGCCCTGGTGGACTGCGGCAGCCACAAATGAAGAATTTAGCTAAGGACTCCCCAGAAATTCTTAAGGTGCCTGGCAAAGCTGGCCGCACACACAAGGTTCTCCACGGGGACCAAGACCCACTGCCTCTGCGCTGTGGGTGAGTCCTCAGGCGCTGCGTTGCAAGAGGAAGACGGCAGAACTGTGATCCAGCAACAGTGGTCAGAGCAAACTGAGCTCCCTTTACACAAAAGAAGCAACCGAGGGGTGTGAGACATGAACTCGATACAGGGGCATCTTTACTGTCTCCTTCTAGGGACACTACTGATGTTCTTGTCCAAAACCCCTCCTCCCCAGATAGTTTTCTTCAAAGCCATCATCCACTTTCTTTCTATTTTGTATTTCATTCTTCTGCCTTTAGGCACTCAATCTGGCTGTCAAACCTGACAAGAACTTGTTGCAGTTTCCCAGGCCCTCATCTCTGCAGCGCCTTCTTCCTTCCAGCTGCAGAAGAAACTCTACGTGTGGTATTCTGTGTTTCCACAACTTCCAGCTGCTTACAGGCCAAAGTGGAATCAATGCTGATAGTTCCAGGGCAGTCAGAATCTCATACTGCTTCTTGGTCCCAAATTTCACTTTTAAGAAACCGCCTCTACTTTTAAAAATATTTTATTTATTTCATTTCATTCTACTTTAGCATTTTATTTTATTTATTTCATTTTCAGCTTTATTGGAAGATCCCTGGTGCTAAAGAAATGTTTTCCAAAAACAAGCGCTGGATCTACAGATATTATTATGACTCTGTCCATAGAACTATGTGCTGGAAAACTCTTAAGGGAGCTCTGCAGCCAGGCAAGAATGGATTACACCTGGGCACATCATAGTCGCCTCTTCCTGCAGGTAAGGGGCACTTACCCTTCCATTCCTCCCCTCCGCAATGGCTCCATCAACAACACATGACCCGGTACACTTCCAACCCGATACATGTTGACTGTCATTTATAACTATCATCTCAACTTGCCATGAGAATTCATTCCCGAATGCTGTGCAACATGCTCTCTTAGAATTTAAAGGGAGGCCCACACTTTTGGCTTATAGCAATGAAAACCCAGGACAGAAAAGATATTATGACCAGGTGTGGTGGCACATGCCTGTAATGCCAGCACTTGGGAGGCTGAGGCAGGAGGATTATTGTGAGTTTGAAACCAGCCTGGGCTACAAAGTGAGCTCAAGGCTAGCCTGAACTGCATAGCGAGACCCTGTCTCAAAAAGACAAAAAACAAAAGAAAAGATATGGGAGTTACCTAAGATCTTTCTTACCTTACAGAGCACTTCCATGGCATATTCTTCTATTTCTGCAATTAAAAATAAACAATATATTTTATTCCCATAACTTAAAATATACAACAAAGTAAAAAAAAAATCCCTTTGCAAGAATGAACACATAACTTATTAATTGATTGTGTTCAAGTCTTCAGTCCAATTTTAATTGACTTTTGTATATGATGCAAGATAGGGGTCCAATTTCATTCTTTTGTGGATTTTCTACTAGGGTTTATTGAAGAGACTGTTCTTTCCCTAGCCTGTGTTCTTGGTACCCCTGTCAGTGACCGGGTGATAGTATGTGTGTGGATCTACTTCTGATCTCTCTATTCTGTTCCACTGGTCTATCTGTCTATTCTAACATTTCTATCAGACTGTTTAATTACTGCAGATTTGTTGTGTAATGTGAAATCAGGAAGTATAGATTTCAGATGCCTCCAGTTTTGTTCTTCTTTCTCAAGGTTAATTTGGTTTTGTGTTCTCCCATGGTGCCCTATGTTTAATTTTTTTTTTTTTTTTTTTTTTTTGGTACCGGGAATTGAACTTGGGACCTTGCACTTGCCAGGCGGGTACTTGTGCCATTGAGCTATAATCCCCAGCCCATGGTGCCCTATGAACTGCAGATTTTTTTTGTCTACTTATGTGAAAAATGCCATTAGAATTTTGATAAGGTTTAAATTGCATATGTGCATTGCTTTGGGGAGTATGAACACTTTAACAATAACAGCAATTCTAGAAAGCAAAAAGAAAAGGAAAGAATGAAAAACAGAGAAAAACAAGAAGAAATAGTTCAAAGAATTAATTCAATAAATGTTCTAAGAACTGAGGGATATTTATATTCACCAAGTGAGTGGAAAAAGATGTACATTAGAACACAATATCATACAATTTCAGAACACAACAGATAAAGAAAATATCTTAAAAGTGTCAAAACTAAGGGAGGAAAAAAAGAACAGTCAGATAGAAAGGTTTATAGATCCAGAGGTTCAAAGGTTCAAAGGTCCAGAGATTTCTTCACAGCAACAGCAGAAGCTCACAAATGGTAGGACAAGGGCTTCCAAATTTTGAGAGAAAGGTATTTTAAACCTAAATTGTATTGTCAAATGATATGACATGTATACACAAATTATTTGAGATGTATGTGTTGTGTATTCCAAATTATGATACTTGGTTTTAGAACTCTTCTTATGTATAATCTTTCAGCAATAAGTAACATTCAAATTATAATTTTCCAAAACAGAGGGAGAAAGGCAGGAAAGGAGGGAGAGATGAAGAAAGACAGTCAGGGCGAGAGAGGGGGAAAAGGGAGGAAGGGAGAGAGAGAAATAAATATGAATATGAATGAGTTAGGGTAAGACCACATGTCTCAGTTTCTCCAGGACAGTTTCAGTTCAAAGGATGCCAACATATTAATAGTGTATTGCTGCTTTTTTATAATGTGCTGGTGTCCATGCTAAATGCTATTACTAAGCTATGCCTGTGAGATTCACAGAAGACTGAACTATATGTGAATAAAAATAAAACACTTTAATAGATAAATTACAAAATGGAAGCCCTTAGCTGACTTTCCAGATGGTTGGGCTGGAGGCTGTCCATTCGTCTAAAATCCTGCATTATTCAAGAGGCTGGGTAAGCTGAGCCAACACCATCAACCTTAAGCGAATGACGCCCCTCACATGACATGCCAGGGGGCCAAGTGGGCCCCAGGCCAGGTCAGCTGGCTGCAGACATCACAGCCAGATGTGTTGGGTGTGATCACAGGGCAGCAGCTCTAGCAGTGGGTGTGGCTTACTAAACCGGGCCACCAACTGCATCCCTGACCCTCAGGGCACTAGGAAACGTGCTCATGCCTCGATGCTTTACATTCCTACCTCCATGCTGAGGATCTTAAGCGCTGGGCTGACAACACCTCTAAAAGGACTCAAGCCACCAGGAAAATGGCCATTAGCCTCCATGTGGCCTCAGGGGTTGAGGCTGTCTAATGCCCTTCCTTGGATAGATTCCCACTGTGATCCACAGACACTGCATTAAAGATCTGTCCTCCAAATTACTGCAGAACCCAGCCATTCTACTCCTGGACACATATCCCAGAAGTCAAAAAGCAGCAATCAAATAGGTATCTGCACACCTATGTTCACAGCGGCACTACGCAAAGTAGCCCAAAGGAGGAAGCAGCCTGAGCGTTCTTTGGTGGATGAATGGAGAGGCAGGATGTGCTAGATACTAGCAATGAAATAGCGTTCAGCTTCACCAAGAAGAAAGCCCAGCAATATCCTGCGTCACGGGTGACCCTGGAGCACAGAAGGCTAAGTGACATAAGCCAGGCGCAAAGCACAGCTGCTGCATGATTCCACCTCTCTGAGGCACTTGGAAGATTCAAACCCACAGAGAGAAAGTAGAATGCAGGCTGCAGATGCCGGGAGAGGAAGCACTGAGTTGATATTTAATGAATTCAGCATTCAGGTTTGCAAGGCGAGAAAATTTCTGGAGAAGTATGGTGCTTCCTACATCCCACAGCACCGAGGACCGGGAGGAGGCTCCCTTGGGGATGGGATTTGAGTGTCTTTTGGGGACATCTGGGGCCCAAAGTGCAGAGACACCAGACACTGCAGGAAAGGACAGGGCGAGTCAGACCCCCTTCCCTGGGACAGGACCACTCAGTGGGGTGGAGAGCGGGGACAGGCAGACACACAGCCACACAGGACGTGGCAGGACACCAACCCACCGGGAGGGGAGGACGAGTCGCCATAGCCTTTCATGTCCATCGCTAGGACCCGGTAGCCCGCCTGGGCCAGAGCAGGGATCTGGAAAGCAAACAGTTCAGGCACACTGCAGCGTGGTCTCACAGAGCAAGCTGACACTGCATGCTCGCTTCTCTCCGTCCCCTCCCCACGTACTGCACAGCACTACCTGGCCTCTTCGCCATGGTGCTGGAAGGAGCCCGCCTGCCCTGGTCGCCGTAAACAGTGGCAAAGCCCTTGCGGATTTCTATACTCACTGCAATGCTTTCCCAGCAGGTGGCGAATCTGTCTTCTTCCCCTCCCGGCCCCAACTGGGGGGGCCTGACCTCCCTGGGTTTCCCTTACCTGGTACCTCCAAGAGAACCAACTCTCAGGAAACCCATGGCAGAGGCACACAACAGGGCCAGAGCCCAGCTCCACGAAGTGCAGACGGACCCCAGGCTGCCAGGAAAGAGGGGAGAGGCAGTGACCGCCATGTCTCCATTGGCCACATGGAGCCGACATCCCTTTTACAGACCTCGCCAGGGCCACGTCACTGGGTCACCAGACCTCATGTGACCCAGCTTTCTCAGTGAAAGACCTCAACGCAGATGAAGCTGGCTGGGCAGGGACACTGGCCAGTCTGTGCCACTGGAACAGTGGCTTTCACCGTGACATGAGAGAGTGGGGCTGGGTATCAACAGAAACTCACAAGGTGGCTTCCCTCTCTAAAGCGCCTCCTTATTGATGGGGTCTCACTTGCTGTTTTGCCAGGGCCTGATTGTGTACAGACCATAATATTCTCGGTACTGTGCAGAATTCCACTGCTGTGCTGTCGAAAGCTGTTTGTTTCTGAAATACGAATTTTTTTCAGGCTTTGCTACACTCGGTCCTGCCAGGGCACTCGCAGTGACTCAGACACAGTCAGGGCTTGCTGTGGGGCTGCGCTCTGCTCCTGACCTGACCCACACAGCCCAAGATCTCTTCCCATCCGCTTAAGTGGGGCCAAAGGCAAAGGGAGAAAGATCCCAAAGTGAATCCATGAAGACAGCCCCAAGCCCTGAGTCTGTGTCTGGCATAGATCTGCTGGCTGGGTCAGGATTCGGGGGCCCTGTGCTCGTGGCCTTGGCCTTAACATGGCCCTGGCTGCCTGGCATTGTAATGGCCTTTTCCATTAATCTCCCTGTGGGTTCCCTGTCCACAACTGCCCCTCACTACCCAGCCCACGCTTGGTACAAAGAGAGTCCTCCATAAACACTTGCTGTATGAAAAATTTTCTATTATCCAGAGCACAGGCCAGATGTGCACAGACCCCTGGGCCCTGGGCTTCCCAAGGCCCCACGGCCTGCTGTTCCAGGGGTTGGACTAACCAGTCATACCGCTTTACGGCATCTAGGGCAGGGACCGTGGCTAGTATCAACTTCTGAGGAATGAGACTTAGGGGAAATTCTATTTCCTTGAAAATGGTGGGTGTCCACAAACACCTCTGCGGGTTATCCTCGGTAACTCACCTTTATGGTCACATAGCCATGGCTCATGTCACTGGGGCTGCAGGAGACTGGCAGAGGGGCCGGAGTTTGGAGAAGCTGGAAGTACAAAAGAGAGATAGAGAGGCAGAGCACTTCCTCCCAGGAGCCGTTCCCAGTGTGAGTGTAGGACTCCTTCGAGAGACCCCAGAGGTCACCCTTGCCATCCCTTCCGGAGTGCTGCTGGTAACTGACGCCCTCCCTTCCAGGGAAAGCTGGACTCTCATTTCCTGCCTCCCTTCTTGTGACTGGGTTCTGGCCACTGAAATGCAGACAGCCTCCCAGCCTGAAAACTCCCTCACGATTCTCTACATTCTCTTGTCCCCCATCTTCCAGCCGGGTGTGTGGTGTGACCTTGGAAGCTCCAGGTGGAAGACGGTGGAACCTGCGTCGGTCAGTCCCTGACTGACGGCGGGGAGCAAGCTCTGGCCCCTGCGAACTGAGCTTCATATAAGCAAGAAAGGAACAGTGCAGCTTCCAACTTAAATAGCACTCTCTCCACAGCAGTTCCTCAGATGGTCAGCAGCTCACAAGGCAGCTGCTCTGTCACCCTGTGTCTCTGTGGAAAGTGGTCTCCTTCACGTGGGCCAAAATGTAACTCCCAGGGGCCTTTGTGTTTTTCTGCTCAGGAGTCGTTATAAAGTGCCACAGACTGGGTGGCTTCAACACTTTTTTCCTCACAGTTCTGGAGGCCTGGGAAGGGCTGGTTTCTCCTGGGCCTCTCTCTCCTTGGTCACCTTTTCCCCACGTTTTCATATGGTCTGTCCTCTACAACTGCCTGGACACTACCTCCTCTTTTTATATGGACTCCAGCCGACTGGACTGGAGCCCACCCTCTCTGACTTCATTCTACCTTAATCTCCTCTTTCAAGGACCTCATCTCCAAATACAGGCACATTCTGAGGGTACTGGGGGCCAGGGCTTCAGCACAGGAATTTCCGAGAACACAGCCCCTGGTTCTGGCCTCCTCTCCCCTCACACTGCTGGAGCCAAGGCCCACACTAATGCAGAGCTGGAGAAGGTCTTCTCCATGGGCTCTGTGTGACCACAGACCTCAGGGCAAACCAGAACACAGGGGCCCCAGACCTGAGGTGCTGGTTGCTCCTCCAGCAGCCCGGGGACACTATTAAGGCTGTCCTGTCCTCCTGGGTGAGGCCCTGTTGCTACTTAAGAGCTGCCCTCTGACTGCCAGGTGGCCAATGTGAGCCAGGTAGGGCTATATGGGTGGCATGACCTGCGAACCAGCTAAGGAACTCACTCTTCACAGGAAGAATTCTCATGCAGTGGAATATGTCTTTAGTCCTGGCTACTCAGGAGGCTGAGGCAGGGGGATCCCTTGAGTCCAGGAGGTCAGGGCCAGCCTGGACAACACAGACTCTGTCTTGGAACAAAAAGAAGAAACAGGAGAAGGGAAATAATAGTAAGAAAGATAAGGAGAAGAGGAGAAAGAGAAGGAGGAGGAAGACTAGGAAGAAGAGAGGAGGAGGAAAAGGAAGAGGAGGAGGAGGAGAACGAAAAAGAGGAACTACTTACTTTAAAGATCAAGGTGGGGGCAGCTTGGACAGAACCTGCCTTGTTTTTGTCTGGTTCTTCTGACACAGACTAGTGCAAATGCTTGCTGCAAGTGTTTCCCACTCCATGACAGCAGAGGAAGGGGCAGGATGATCTTTAGGGCAGTGAGCTCCCTGCACCTGTGTGTGGGTCTCCCTTACACAGGCTCCTGGGATGATGTACTGAGCCAGGAGCACCAGGACCTCCGGCCTCCTGCTCAGCGCTTTCTCCCCATTAACACAGAAGAGCACAGAAGCCCGACTGCACCCGGACACGACATTACCTGCACCCTTGTTACTTTCTCCAGCTCCTTCAGGGCCGCCGCTGTGTCTCGGGCGAGGATGGTGACCATTCCCAAGTCCCGAGCCGGCTTCAGATTAGATCCGAAGTCATCTAGCAAAACAACCTGAATGGGAAACAGTGTGGACGTCATCCAGAACAAACTCGTGTAATAGGAGGGAAGAAATCATCAGGAAGAAATACATGAAATGCAGAGGGGATATTTTATGATATGGAAATGAAAAATCCTTCTACTATGTGTTTTCACTTACTCCTAGAATTAAAAACATTTAATTACATAAGCGCACATACAGACCTACCTCTTGCAGCCAGTTTTGCAACTGCAAGAAGACTGGGAAGGATATAAGCTTGTGCAAAGGATCTTAAAATTCACCTGGGCAAATTGACAGCTACAAAGGTTCAAAGGTTCACAGATGCCTGTGAAAAACTCTAATGATGGCAGGTAATAAACAAATTATGAACCTACAAAAAAGTAGAAACATCTGGTACTAGGAAAGAAATAGAAATACCTGTGAAGTAGAAGGGAGTCTACAAATAGACTCAAATTCAAAAGAGAATTTTGTTTCTAATAAAAGAGCCAGGGAGGAAGGTTACTGAAAGGCTTTGGTACGAATGGTTGGTTAACTGGGGGAAAAAAGTAGAACCTTGCTTCCCATTTTATCCCAAAATAAATTCTGAATGGATCAAAGATTTAAATTTAAAAGAAAGAAAACAAAAAAAAGACCTTACAAGTTGTAGAAGAAAGCATGAATGTGTTTATTTATAATCTAGGACAGGGGCTGAATTCTAAACAACTCATCCACCCAAAGCCATGAAGGGGAAGACTGGCGTATGCGTGCACATCCTTAAACCCAGAGCCCCAGAAGAGCTGAAGCCACATCCACAAGGAGAAAAGCAATGGTCCTGGGACTGGACAGGCAAGGGACCAGGGACAGGGCTCAGGGCTCGTTTTGATGGCTCTTGCAAAGAGGCCAGCAAGAGAAAGGCAGAATGTGAAGAAAATAATAAAATTGTGGTCTAATCACCATTTTAACATTAGAGCTTATGGGAGCCCAGCCCTGCTCGCCCACTGGTGGCGTGACCCTAACTAGCCTTGTGGCCTCAGCAAAGTCTCCTGGATCTCTGTCTCTTTGTTAGTAAACTGAGGAAGCTAGTCTAACAGCTTTTGGTGATACTTACTTTGACCAAACTCCTATAAAAGACACACACACAGAGCCCAGATGCTCACCTCTGGTAGAACTTTCTAGACTGAAAAATGGGTAAAAATCCTTTAGAAGTCCTAGCCTGAGAAAAATACACTGAGAACTATCTTGCCAGACCCCAAACATAAACTCCTCAGTGTTTGTCTGGTTGCGGTATATCTGGGGGCAGTCCTGTGCCCTCAGAGGAAGCATCTACGTACCTCACTGGGACTGGCCTTCAGGGTGTCCAGGACAAGCTTGTAGATCTGAGGCTCAGGCTTGACCATGCCGACCTGGCAGGACTCTACCAGGAGGTCGAAGTGCGGGCTCAGCTCACACATCATCTGGGCCAGGTCACCTCTCTTAGCTCTGTCATCCAGCCAGTTGTTGGTGAGCATGCAGGTTTTAAAGCCTATGCAAAACATTACCAGTGAACAAACCAGCTACAGCACTTGGCCTTAAGATGCCCCAGATGCCCCACAAGGGGCACCAATAATGGGGCCGAGTAAGGTCCTGCTCACTTATGTCCACTTCCCCATACCCAGCTTTCAATAGACAAGCTGGGAAGAATGGTCTTCACCCAGAAGCACCTCCTGGCACAGAGTCCAGGGTGAACTGGTAAGACACAGGCTCTCAGAAAGGGAGGGCATCCTAATCCCCTGTCTACCAGCATTCTCATCCTCATCAGCTCACTGGATCAAAGTGGTTTGACATTCCTCAGCTCGTCAGGTCCTCCGCACTTCTTGGGCAGGCAGGGCAGATCTGATTGCCATATTTATGGATGAGCAAACCAAAGCTCAGACAAGGAACAAGCTGCCAGAGCCCCATGGTAAATGTCCAGCGTTCCTTGTAGTCTGTCCTGCTGCAAATCCTGCCTGGTTGTCTCCTGCTTTGGCCACCAGGAACTACATTCCCATTCCAAAACCAGACAGGCATCAAGAGAGGCAGCTCTATCCCCTGGCTCCACCTGCCCCACCAGTCGGTGACAACCGGGTGTTGTTAGAAGTGAGACACAGACGAGCTAATGGTGAGGCCCTTCCCACAGAACAGGAAGAGGGAGGATGACTACGGACATGAGGTCGTGCTACGGCTGGAATGGGTCCCCCAAAGGCATGTGTGGGAAATTTAGTCCCCAGTGTGATTGTGCTGGGAGCTGAGTAGACCCCAAGGGCTCTGCCCTTATGAATGGGTTAATGCTGGTATAAAATGGCCTGAGGCTGCCACTGAGCTGTTTTAGTCTGTCGAAGGTGCACACGCTCTTGCCTTTCTGCCTCTGGCCCTGGTATGATGCACCATGAAAGACCTATGCACCATGAAAGACCTATCAGGCCAGGCGTGGTGGTGCATGCTTGTAATACCAGCACTCAGAAGGCTGAGGCAGGAGGATTGTTGCAAGTTTGAGGCCAGCCTGGGCTACAAAGTGAGCTCAAGGCCAGCCTGAACTGCATAAGGAGACCCTGTCTCAAAAAGACCTATCAGGCATGGGCCCCCTGACATTGGACTTCTAGCCAGAACTGGAAAAAGTGAGCCTCTGTTATTTACATGGGACCTAGTCTCAGGTATTCAGTTAGAGCAGCACATAATGGACTAAGACAGATGCCATAGCCTCAACCACGTAAGTCTGCTGAGACAGTGGGGCAACTTCACATGTGCAGGTGGAGAAGTGCCAGGCACCGACACTAATAAATGTCACTGGATGAATGTGATCGGATGTCTTAGGTCATGTGACAGAATCCAGTCAGGTCATTGCTCAGTCACTCTGATGCCCAGAGGGCAACAGAATCACGGTTGCTTAAAAGGCCTTGTTTTTAAAACATTGACAAAAGTTTAGGTCATTTCTAGTACCAGGGGAGGGAGAGAGAAATGCTCATCAGGCAGTCACTGGGGTAAACTGCCTTACTAGATCAAATTCTGTAATTTTTCCAAGTATTCTAATGGTGCGGCTTTTGGCATTAGACAAAACTTGCCTTGGGGCCCAGTTTTAAGGGTGGATTTCCATCAAGGCGCAGAAGACCAAAGATTTCAAGACACACTTAGCTATATTCTGGCCTTGTCCCTTGCAGTTGGCCTGGGAGCATCCAGCATGCAAGCCTTACCCTTCTTCCTGAGAGCCAGCACTGCCTGAAGCATGGGGCGGTTGATGCTTCTTGCTGAGATCGCCTTGTCAAAGATCTGGTGTATGGAGAAATCCTCAGGGAGGCGGATTCCAGAGGCTTCGGAGCGTTTCCTGCAGTTTTCTTCCATGAGTGGCACCCACTGTGGGGGCAAATCAAGGGGACACGTCAGTGGGCATTGCCACTAGAAGAGCTGGGACAGTCTACTAAATCCACACATGTGCATTCCCTGTGACCAAGCAGTGCCACTGGGGACACACCCACGGGCAGTGTCAACATGGGCTCCCCAAAAGACATGGACAAAAATGTTCTTAGCTACACTTTTCTTAACAGTCCCACACTGGAAACCACCCACACACCCACTCCCAGCAGTGTGGGTGGATCGCGGGACACATCAACGCTGTTTTCGTGGCACTGTTCCTACCATCCCTGTCTCACTGTCTGGGCTGCTAAAACAAAATAACAGGATGAGTATCTCATAAGCAACAGAAAGGTTTTCCCCACAGATCTGAAGTCTGAAAAACCCAACACCAGCAGGTTGCCAACAGATTTGGTGTTCATGTCCTGCTTTGCAGTGGGTGCCTTCTTGCTTTCCTCACATGGCAGAAGGGGCCAGCTGGCTGGCTAGGGTCTCTTTCCTAGGGCTCTTGATGAGGGCTCCACTCTTCCTGAAAGCTTCTTATCCTAAGACCACCACCTTAGGGTGAGGATTTCAATATACTAATTGGGAGGGCATGAACATTCAGGTACTAGCAAGCCCCAAATGGAAAGGACAGAAGTGCCCATTGTTATGGGCTTGAATTACGTCCCTTCAAAACCTGCATGTTTGACTTGCCAACCAAATGTACCTCAAGATATAAGTGTATGTGGAGAAAAGGCCTCTAAAGAGGTAATTCAAGGCCTTAAATTGCTTTGAAATTACAATGATGTCACTGGGCTGGACAAATACCATCACCTGGTATTACAATGATGTCACTGGGCTGGATTCTAATCCAACACAACTGATGTCCTCATAAGAACAGGAGGCTAGGATAGAGACACACTGTTGTGATTAGTGTAGGGGTCCTGTTCCCTGAAGTCTGTGTGCTAAAGGCTTGGTCCTCAGGGTGGTGCTCTGGGAGGTGATGGAACTGCTAGGAGGCAGAGCCTAGCAGTGGGTCCTTCCTTCACTGGGGGATACCCTTAAGGGGACTGTGGGACCCTCATGGCCTGCTCTTTCTTCTGTCTCCTGTTCCCTGATGCAAGGGGTTTTCTGTCTTGTGTATCTGCCATGATGCATGCCCTGGTCAAGGCTCCAACTCATGGGGCTGTCCAGTCTTGGACTGGAATCTCTAGATCTGTGAGTTATTTTTTCTCTTTATAAATTAAGGCTTCAGGTGTTTCACTCTAGTGCTGTGAAACTGACTGATACACATGCGTACACATATAAAGGGAAAGCCAAGTGTGGATGCCTCCAGAAGGCAGCCACCTGCAAGGAAAAGAGACCTCTAAAGAAAGCAAGCCTGCAAACACTGGGATGTGGAACTTTCAGCCTACAGAACTGTAAGAAATTTCTCCTGTTTAAGCTGCTCAGTCTGTGGTGCTGTGGATTAAATATTTGTGTCGCTCTGAAAATGCATACGCTGAAACCTTCACTCACCAGGTGATGGTATTTGGAGGTGGGACTTTGGGAGGTGATTAAATCAGGAACATGGAGCCCCTGTGAGTGGAACTGGTGCCCTTATAAAAGGGCACAAGGAAGCTTGCCGTTTCTCTTTGCTTCCCACCATGGGAGGATACAAGATGATTAGTTGGAAACTAGGAAGAATCCTGCCCAGACATGAACCCTGTGTGGATCTTGGATTTTTCAGCCTGCACAGCTGAGAAAGGTAAATATTTGTGTACAAGTTACCCAGTCTGTGGTATATTTGTTAAAGCAGCAGACACAGCCCTAGCAAACTAACATACTCACTAACAGCAGAACGATTTGTGGGTTATACCCACATTATCATAGCGGTAGATGCTGTGAGAATACTACAGTGAACACTCACCAAATACCCACTAATAATAGAAAGGGTAAGTGGACTGAGATATAATCACACAGTGGAATACCCTGCAGCAATGAGAATAAAACTACCTATTGCTGCTTGTCATTGCTCTATGAATCTCACACGTGTAGTGCCTAACACATGATGCCAGGCACAGAAGACTCTATCAATCTGTGCAACTCCACTCTCATAAAATTCCAAATAGGCAAGAGCGGTGTTGCATTAGAAGCCAGGTGGCCAGTGATCTTGGATGGGTGGTGTCCATGGGGCACATAATGGAGGGGTCAGGGTGCTAGCAATGCTTCATTTCTTGATCTGGGTGCTGATGACCTGAGTGTATTCAGTTTGTGAAAATTCATCCAACTGCACACTGTGTGTGCTTTTTTGTTTTCATGGTATACACCAATGCACAGTCGAAAGGTGACATTCACTTCTAGGAAGTGACTTTCCAGGACACTTCAAGCTCAAGGAGTCTTCATCACAGCAGAACTCAGTTTCTCAGACATCTTTCTGGACCCATGTGAGTTTCGCGGAAGCTCCACTCAGTAACCGAAGCGACTAAAAGAGCACTAAGGAGTCTGAGGGGGACGTGGGGTTTTCACACCAACTACTAGATTTTTAATTGATGAAAACTTCGGAAGTGTTTGTTCCAAGTAATACTGCCACTGTGTTCGTGTAATACTCCCTGCACTGACGCCCCATTTACCTACGCAGATAAGGTAAGATTTTGCTTTCTATCAGAGTGGATCCCAAATTCTCTATCAGAGTGATGGGATTCATTAAAATTTTTCAAAATATAGTATTTTAAAGGTGGGTGCTTATAAGAAGATTCTCAACATCTTATTTTCTTAGAGAAGCATTGACAGAGAATTGAAATGGTGTTAGATTCTGTTTACTTTGTTGAAAATACCTGAAGTTACATGAAGAAGAAAAACTACTATTTATTGAGTGCTTACTGTGTACCAGGCACTGTGTTAGGCATTTCCATGTTTCACAGTACCCTGTGAAATAAGTAGCATTGTCGCTCCATCTTACAGGACGCAAAACTGAGACTCTGGGAGATTAAGTAACTTGCAGTGGTCACAAGCTCTGTAAGTGGGACCTGCGATTCAGACCCTGACTGCTGACTCCCAAATCTATCGGTTGCATCTCACTCCTGGGACAATATACTTGACAACTACATCTTACTGGAGGAGAGGTGCATTTGCTTCACAGTTTCATAAGTTTTAGTCTATGATCAGCAGCCCCAAGTCAGGAACACCATGGTAGAGGGCGTAGGACAGCAAAGCTGCTTAATTCCTGGCAGCTAGAAAGCAGAGCAGGGGAACAGCACCGGAAAGGAAGGGACCAGGGACTGGATGGACCCAAGGTCCTGCTGCAATTCTGTAGCCCGCACCTCCATGCCCACCCAGGCACACCCAGAAGTACATGTTGCTAATCAGCTAGTCACCTCTTAATCCAGTGTAGGTGACAACCACAATGAACAATCACTTACTGAGGTAACAGTCCCAGTGGCTCTGCCCTAAAATAGTTTTCTGGCTGCAGGGATCTCTGGCCCGGTTGATGAAGGGCTTGGAAATGTCCCTCTTGTTGGCCCAGAGAGACTGCAAACCAGTCCTCAATGCCCCTTCAGATGTCTCTTGCTCTTCTGGTTGGACTTGTGAGTTATGGGACACAAAGGGCACACAGGTGAAGGAGACAAGGCCCTGCCCCTTGAGGGTAGGGGACGGGAAGCAGCAGAGAATGTCCCCCAGTGGGATCCTCTCACCTGGGAAAATGTGATCTCTCCTCTCATGAGGCGGGCGCTGGAACCATTCATGCCTTCCTTCAGGAAGGCATCATTCAGAAAGTCTCTGAAAGACATGAGACACAGCCACATCACAGATGTTCTGGGGACCATCACAGCGGCACGCCAGGGACAGGCATGATTTACATTCACAGGTGACGCTGGCAGAAAGATGAGCTGCTGAGGACCAGGACATACAACAAAGCCTGAGTTGACATCTTTGTCTGCACGGGGCCATTTTCTAGGTCACATTCTTCAAAGGGAATCAAAGGTTTTTCTCTGGTTTCATTATGCACATGTAGTCACTACTTTATCTTAATCTCATCTTTTAAATTTTTAGATGTTTCCTGTGTTAGGAATTGAAATAAATCTCCCCACAAATCCTACATTGAAATTCTAACCCTTAGTATCTAATAATGTCACTGTACTGTATCTGGAGACAATGTCTTTCAAGAGGTCATGAAGTTAAATGAAGTCACTAGGGTGGGCCTTAACCCTCTATGCCTGAGTCCCTATAGGAGGAGGAAATCTAAACAGGAAGACCTTATGGGGACCCAAGGGGAAGATGGCCATCTACAACCAAGAGGCCTTAGAAAAAACCAGTCCTGACACCTTGATCTTGGGCTTTTAACCACTAGAACTGTTTGCGGAATACAGCCAACCAGTCTGTTCCTGGTTACAGCACCCCTAGTAACTGAATACACATTTGCTCTTATAACTAACTGCAACTAGACAGCCAGTTGCAATTGTTTACCATCTGTCTTGGTTACTTTTCTCTTGTTGCTGAGACAAAATACCTGATGCCCAGGGTTAAGGAAGGAAAGGTTTATTTAGCTCACAATTTGTGGAGGTTTCAGTCCATACTCAGCTGACTCCAAGGCAGAGTGGCACATGGCAGAGGACAACTGTTCCTGGCAGCGGAAAACAGCAAAAGCAGCAAGAGCAAATTGGAGGAGCAGCAGCAAGCAGCCTCCTTCCCTCCCTTATATTGTATGCGAACTACCCGCCCCAGGGGCAGGTGTAGCACTCACACCCATAATCCCAACATTGGACTATGGATCAATCAAAAATCTAGAAGCCAACCCCATGAATGCATGAGGATTTGGGGGAACACGCAGACACAAACCATAATACTATCCCTGAATAAGAAAACAAATCCTTCCAGCCTGGGGGTTTCGTTTCTGATAGTAGTGAGTACCTTTATCAGGCTAGCCCTCCTCAGACACCAAGGATCAAATCTAGGCAAAATATAAAAAGACGTACACTCTATATGTATGGCCTTGCTGAACTTCCCTGCCACATCTTTGCATCAATATGACCAAACAGCTTTACAAAAGTTCACATCCAATTCACATTTTCAGTGTATCAGTCAGTCTCCTGTAGTCAATGAAGAGTTGTGCAAACTTTACCACCTCTTTGAAATGTTTTAAACCAGGTATGGTGGCACATGCCTGTAATCCCAGCACTTGGGAGGCTGAGGCAGGAGGATCGTTGGGAGTTCGAGACCACCCTAGGCCACAACATGAGCTCAAGGCTAGCCTGAACTGCGTGGTGAGACTCTGTCTGAAAAAGACCCCCCGCAAAAAAGAGAAAAGAAAGACAAGAAATGTTTTAGAACATCTCCATGCCCTCAAAAAGATCCCTTATGTTCTAGCCTCACAACCTCAAAAGGAGGCTCCCAGGCTCCCCTTGACCCCAGCGGGGCCCTGCAGCCTAGGTCCTTCATCTCCCAAGCCCAGGACCCTCCAAGCCCAAGCTCGAGTCTGGCTCCCTTTAGTTCCAGCCACGGCAGGCTTTCTCCCATGCCGAACTGCTCACCTCCAAGCTCCCTGGCCCTTCACGATACTGTGAGCCTCAGCTTCTTGCTGCTCGCCAATTTACTGGACCCATTAACCCACGGATTGGCTGCTATCCTTTAGAGCTTCAATGATTTTACTTCCGCACCAGCCTTTGTCAAAAACCCTCAAGGGCTTCTCATTGGTTACTGAAGTAGGGACATGCTCATCAGCATGGCTTTAAGGCTGCACTATGATAGAGCACGTTTTTCCGCCACCTCTTTTCCAGCTAGACTGGACCAATGAGTGTTCTTGTGCACATCCTCTGCCTTCCACTCCAAGCCTTTGAGCATGCTGCCCCCTCCCCCTGCAACTACAATGTGCCCCCTCACGCTGCTCCCTATCAACTTCCCATCAGCCTTCCAGCATTTAAATCTTTCCAGGTTCTCCTGATCGGACCTCCTCCCTCCCTCCACCGAATCACCCTAGAGCCGAGTTTTCATACCAGACGGTGAGCATGTTGAAAGTGGCCAATGTAAAGTAGATCCTTCCTGTTCACATTCTACATTAATATTTTCATGGTTGGTTCACAAGCTTGATGGCTTAATAAGGTTAAGGTCGTGTATTCTAACTCCCTGAGTTTAGTTGGCTTTGCTGTGGCCTGTTTTAAGTTAACTGGAAACAATTCCAACCATAGTTCCAAAGGCAGCATTTCACTGCAAAGTCAAATAAATGGTATATGCCCAAAGCATAATTTACATATGAGTGAAACTTTTGTAAATAAAGAAAGTATCAAAAACACTCCTGACCATCCATCTTACATGTTATCTTATTTACTCCTAGCAAAAACATGCAGGGGAAGGTACAGATTGAGCAAGTCACCCAAGTGTCAGACCCGAGATGAGTTCCTGGTATGACTCTGGAGACCCGAAGCTTCCAGGAGCCCAGACCTGCACACCTGTGCCTTGTATATAAGTCACGATCACCCTAACTTCGGTGAGGTCACGGGTATGAACAGACCTCATAGCTTACTCTCTTTTTGTGTCTCTTTTTATTAATTAATTTTTTCATACCAGGAATCAAACTCATGACCTCATGCTTGCCAGGCAGGCACTGTGCCACTGAGCTACATCCCCAAGGTGTCTTCTTCTTTTAATATCAAGTTTATGAGTCAAACGAAGTGAGGTAACATTATTGTTAGAAAGGACTCTTTAAAAACGAGTTCCTTATTCCTTCCTCACCTTCTGTTGGCGTTGGTCTTGTAAGAATTCTAGAATCTGGAAGGAAATGACCTGAACTGGGCAAGCGTGGCTTAGAGGGGGCTTTCCACTTCCGAATCTGGTTCTCTGTCAAATCCTAATTACCTGGAGCGTGATTAGTCTGATTGTGGCCTTTCAGCCAGCTTGTTTATGTTTCTCAATGATGTATTCATTCAGCGTCAACAAATTGATCTCATTCGCAGAATGGCGTCTGAGGGAGGGGCAAAGTCACAATAAACTGACAAGGGAGGAAGGCAGGTGAGGCGGGGTGTGTGTGCAGAGCAATGAGCTCCAGAGCGGCCTAGCATTCACTCTGTGACCTGGAGCAAGTTAATCTCCTTACACCTCCGTGTCCACATCTGCAGAAGTGGGGTTTACTGTAGACTTTAGCTCCCTTTTGACGTGGCATGCTTGCAGGTACTAGCCTTTTGTGATTTTTGCCGTATAAAGGTTAGAAGCCCTGTTGGCCCTGGTATCATAAAAATTCTAGAACCCTTGGATGTGGCAGAACTCAGAATGCACAGCTCCTGGTCCGCTCTTCTCTTTCACCTGTAATTTAGGATTTGCTATTTCTTGCCTTCCCCCTGTGATCTTATTCTTTTTTTTTTAACTGTTTGAATATTTATGCACCCCCTCCTTCCGACTGTAGGAGTAATATATGTTTGAAAATTTTAAAAAATGTTGGAAAGTATAGAAACGTAGAAAAATAAAATCACAATACTACCTGGGATTAATAGAAAATTAAAAATTCATAAATCTGCCTGGGATTAACGATCCCAAGCGTACTTTAGTAGGTTTCTTCCAGACGCTTTATGCAGCTTTTTTTCTTTCCATGGCTGGAACCATGCTGCAGTTTCTTGATTTGACAGGTTGGTCTGTATCTTAACACAGAGGTTTTTCGATGTTACGCAATCTCATCCTGAACACCGCACTATCAGTTTCCTGTTTCCCGGGTGGTAGGCTGTAGGCTGTCTCTGTAGGTTGTTACTTCACCAAGTACACCTGTAACACTGACCTTTGGAGAGAACTTTCTCCTCTTCTAAATCTCAGCGAAAGTTTTAAGATCCTTTCTAAGGGAGAGAATGAAGCAGCAGATAATTCCACTTCCTTTTGGAAGCTTTCAATGTAAGGTGCAATTTCGGAGTCTTTAGCAAGGCTTAATTACTTAGCATTCAGAAAGACAATGGGTCCACTTACACTCACTGGTATTTTAGGGCCAGTTATTATTCCAACCTCTCGCAGGGCTCAGGCCCAAAAGCCATCCTCACCCAGGGATGAAGCTCAGAAAGGCAACTCCGAGACAGGGGTCCTGCCCACCACGGCGCGGACCGGCTGGGGCCGCGCGGGTCCCCTTACCTGGGCAGCGCCAGGGCTTCCTCCGCGCGGCTGAGGGCGCCCGCGGCCGAGGGCAGAGCCAGCACCCCATCAAGGTCGAACACGGCCACGCGCAGCGCCATGGCTAACGGGGCAGCGGCCCTGACCTGCAGTCGAAGCCGGAAGGCCCAGCGCCGCCAGACCCGAGCCACTGCCCGCTGGGACCGCGCCCCCGGAGACCGCCCAGC